ACAGGTAAAGGAGGGTTGCCCACTAAAATGGGGGTGCCCAGCTTCCCCCCACCCCGCCACCGGCTCTCGGATCCCTTTTCTTGACGTCTGTAAATGCAGCTCCTAGCGATTCCCTCTCTTTGAAAAGGAGGGAGGGCCCGGCTCAGCGGTTTGATGGCAAAGCTCTGTGGCGGCCAGCCCAGCTAGCGTCATTCAATTTCTGGATACTGACTGCACTTGTTCAAAGAGTTGCCCATCTTCAGCCCAGAACACACAAGCCCCGAAGTCCTCTTCTGGGGGAGCAGTTTCCCCCTCATCCCTTCCTCTCAGGACCTCCATGTCCAAAGTCAAATATTGGGACTCCATTCAGTTGAGGCACAGCCAGTTAGAATCCCAGGTTGCAAGATGGCTGGAAAGTTACCCAGAGGCCAGCATGCCCTCTAGCCCACCACAGTTCGTGGGCATATCCGGTTTACAGGGCATGGGGACCAACAGAGCCTTTCGGTGGGTGGGGGAAGGAGACAATAAAATGCTACCAGCACCAGGCAGCCTGCTTCCTCAGCTCCTGAGGACTTTCTACATGGGAGAGACCTAGGGGTGGCAATGCCCCCCCACAAAGCTGCATTTGCATAGCATTTAACACAGCATTGGAAAAACGTTACTAATATCCACATCAAAGCCTAGGCCCATCTCTGTGCAAGCCGGGAAGGAAGATTGTGGACTCCTTGGTGCCTGCCCTTGGATCTCAGGATCTTGGATCTCAGGGCAGCGTCTCAAGGCTGTCCCACCCCCAGCAGCACCCAAGAAGATGTGGCTGCCTTGGTGGCAGTCTGGGTCTTTGCAGAGGGAACTGACCCACTTTCCATGGAGGCCACTGGTCACAACCAGCTTTATCACCCTCCTGAGGGGACCCTGAACTCAGAGCTGAAACCCTGGGGTGGACGGACAAAGGGTTCCGATGCCCTCCCCCACCCAGCCCCTTACCCACTCCCACCTGGCCCAGAGGCAGTACCTTTGTCGAGGACAGGCCCGAAGATGGCCAGACTGTCGTCTATGGTGGTGCAGTTCCAGCGGCGGCCCCGGAACTGGTGCTGGCACTCCTGGATGCCCAGCTTCACGCCCTCAGCCACACTGGGCATGATCTCGATGTAATTGCGGCAGAAGCGCAGTTGCTTGGGGACCAGGCCTGGGATGGAGCCACAGAGCAAGGGCTGTGAGCCCAGAGATGTGTACTGCTGGCCCAGGGCCAGGGACCTGTGGACAGACAGAGGGCAGTGGCACTGTGGGCACAAAGCACATGGCCCATCATGGGCATCATTTCTTTTTTTTGAGCCCTCTGGGGTAGGTGGAGTTATGGAGGGCCTGTGGGCCTAAACCCGTGGCCCTGAGAAGCCTGGCTCCTGAACTTGCTACCATTGACCTTGGGAGGCACCCTGCCCTTTGAAGGGCAGGGCTCTGAACCAGGCAAAGTCAGCCTTCTACCTTGCAGGGCAATGGGGACCAGCAGAAACCTCTCATGGGGGTACTGGGGGTAATGTGATGCCATGAAAAGAACCCTGGACTGGAAAGAGGGTACTTGGGGCCCAGATCAAGTCCCTTCCAGGCTCTGGGCCCAGTTTCCCTGATAAGCAATCTCCTAGGGAGTCCAGGATTCTGGGGCCACGTAGAGACTTCCAGTGACTCATGGAAAGGAACCCAAACCTAAAGGGAGGAAGGCAACAGAGATAGGTTTGATCCCAGCCCCATCTCATAAAAAGCAGAGAAGCATCAGTCCCAGCAGGGGTTTGCACATGCCTGCGTGCATGTACACACACACACACGCCACCTGTGGCATGCCTCCAGCCTCTTCCCCAGGACGCTGCCTGCCCGGCCCAGAGCCTCCCAGTGTCTCCTCAAGGAAGCGATGGCTTGCACCCTCCGTCTGTCCACCAGGCCTCCATGACCATCTTTGCAGTTCTCTAGAAGTTTCTAGAGTACCACCTCTTCTCTCACCAGAGATGGGAGCTGGTTTTTTTTTTTTTTTTTTTTTCAAGACAAGTTTAGCACAGAGCCAGAAGGGAGAAGATCTCAAATCTCACTCCTCCCACCCAGTACCATATGACTCTGGTCAAGTCACCCCATTCTTCTGCCCCTTATTTTTTCATCAATATCCTGTCAACCTCTCTCAGGTTTTATAAAAAGTCAACAGATGGAAAGGACTTGTGGGAAGAGGGAGGAGGGAAAAGAGTTTAAGACACTAGGAAACCAAGGTACTGTGGGAATCACGACTTTTCCATTCCCTCCCTGCAGCATAGAAACAGCAAGAATGACATTTTGTGGGAAAAGCTGAGAAAATGATCCGTGGGTTTCATTGAGCTTCAAGGCCAATTGTGATCAGCCCTGTAGTCGGGGACAGTGTGAGCTGGAAGAAGGGGTACATGGGGGCCCTTCTCCTCTCCCTTTATATACAGTACTGACCAAGGCTTTTGTCTGGCACTAGTCTGGGTTGAGTCCCCTACACAAAGTGACAGGCAGAAGAAGCCTTGGGAAGAGGGTCCAGGAGAAGACCCAGGGGAGGATCAAGAAATAGCACACAAAAGCTTTCTGGGTTAAACACAGGGATGAACCAAATGTCTGCCACTTACCAACTCTTGCCAGGCACCTTATATGCAACGTTTCTAATCACTTCTTAACATGGAGAACATTACTACCCCCAGATGAGGAAACAGAGGCTTCTCAGAGAGCATTAGGGCTTTGGGTGTCAGGTCTGTGGCAGTTGGGGACATGCTGTGTGCTTTCCCCAGCGTCCTTCCTCCATAGCTTGCTCCCGGCCTTAGCCAGCTTGTGCAGAGTCCAAGGGACAGAGCTCTCTGGGCACCGTGGAGGGGCTGGTGTCCTTCCACCCTGGGCTGTCTCTGGGCTCAGTTGTCAGGGGGAGAAGCAGGCCCTCGTTTTTCTATTTGTTTATTTGGGGGAAGGAATTGGGGGAACCAGACTTGGGAGTTTGGATGGTACCATTTATAAGAGATTTCTAGATCTTAAGCACTCCTTTTAAAGAGAAGGAAGGAGCAGACAGAAGTTGTGACTTAACACTGGTAATGGCTGACTACTGATTTCCTCTGTGCCGGGCACTGAGCTGAGCCCTTTCTTTGGGTTTTCCTCATTTAATCTTTATAACAATGCTAGCACACAGTAGGGTCGTTATTAGCAGTCTTGTTTTACAGATGGCTTAGGCTTGCAGGTTGAGTGACCAGCCCAGACCACAGAGCTGCTAAGGAGTTGCCTATTGGAGCCCAGGCCATCTGACTCCAGAGCCCCTGAAGCAAACCCCTGTACTACCCTGCCTTCTGGGCAATGCCTGCCTAGGTCCTGAGGGGGTGGGAGTGGCTTCCGGCCTGGCCTGCACCCTGGGCCTCAACACTGAGCCCACGCATGAGTGGGACAGAGCCGGTGAGCCCAAAGCCCTGATGGCACATGGCACATATGGCACCTGATGGGCCTGCAGGCTGCCCTCTCCTGCCCCTGCCCCTGTTTATAGTTATAAACAGAGTGATAATAAAATGCCTGTTATTTATTGTGTACCCACCATGCCCTGGGCACATTCTGGGTACTTGTGTCTGTCACCTTATGTTACCCTCACAGCAGGTCTCTGAGGTAGGAACTTCATTATCATTGCCATCATCCCATTTCGTAGATGAGGAAACTGAGGCCAGGGAACTAAGCAATCTGCCCAAATATGCAGGGCTGTGTGACCTCCCTCCCAGCTCAGGCTGCCACTCCCAGTGCTCTTGACCAGCACGTCCAGCCCTGCCCTGTCCTGTGCTGCCCCAGCAGCCCCGCAGTCACTAGAGAGGGAAACCGAGCAAGGGTTCAGTGCAGACGACTCGGCATAGCACCATCCCAGGAGGGCGGCTCAGGAGCAAGGCGCGCCTGGGAAGAAGCCCAGGCCAGCCGCTCCTCTGGTGCTCAGGACCCAAAGCCCTGCATGGCACAGCTGAGAGGGCAACTGAGGCTGAGTGGGTGGCACTTAGGGGCCCTTCCTCTCCCCTTTCTCCTCCCATGCCGTCCTTCCTCCTCCTTCCCCACCTTCTCCCAGCCTTTGCCTCGCACCTGTCAGCACCTTCTGCAGCCCGCACACAAGCTAAGCTGGAGGCTGAGCCCCGTACCACGGTCAGAGCCTTCAAGAGGCACAAGAGCCTGAGAGCACTAAGCCCGTTATACAGAGGAAAAAGCAGAGGCTGCAGAGAGGAGTGACTGGTCCAAGGCCATCCAGGGAGCCAGGGCAGGCTGGCTCCTACTGCAGGGAGTGGGGGCAAGGAGTGGGGAAGCCCCAGAGGCTCTTCACTGCCACTCTTGGTGAAGCTGGTTTCCCTCCTAAAGGGTCCCAGGGGGGTCTTCTCAGCCCAGCAGAGCATCGAGCCCTGGGCACTGGCTGCAGGGCTTGGTTGGCCACAAAGGCCAGAGTGCTCCCCAAACATCTCCAGGAAGGAGATGCCACAGTCCCCTGCACTCCCCTGATGGCCACCAAGCCCCTGACAGCTGAGTCCTTCCTACTGTGCAGTTGCAGTCGCGCCTCTGACCCATGCGGGATTCCTTTTGTCAGCACCAGCAATAGCAACCGACAGCTGTTTATTCAGCATGTGCTCTGTGGCAGGCACTTCACGTGCATTGTCATCTCATCTAATCCTCATGACACCTCTGTGAGGTGGGCATTATCGTCCCCATGTTACAGATGAGGACACTGAGGCACAGGGAATTTGCACAACTTACACAAGGAAGTGGCCGAGGTACAATTCAAACCCTGGTTTGTCTGGCTTTGAGTGTGATGTCCCCCAAGAACAACTCCGCGGCCTCAGAGATGATGAATTATTTTCCCTCTTCCCACCAGACCCAACCAACTCTGCCCCTGGAGCCAGGATGCTTGGCTCACACCCAGCTCTGACGTTTCTTAGGCTTCTCCATGCCTCAGTTTCCTCATCCGCAAAACAGATGTGACGGAAGGCATAAATGATATAATCCAGTGGCGGGCACAGAGGACGCCCTCAAGAAAGGGTAGTTGCTGTGGTTACCATGTGTTTAGTGGCTGCACCAGCACTCTGTCCCCTGCCTTGTCACCAACCTCATTCCTCCCATCCTCGCATCCGCAACTTGGTGGAACACATCAGAATTTCCAGAGCCCTTTCCCGTCCAACACGGAGAAGAATGCCTGGGATCAGAGCAAAGTCTCCTTCCCTGGCAGCTCAGTCCTAACAGCGTGGCTGAACAAAGACATTTGCAATCTGCCTGAGGGTTAAAGGTAACCCAAAGGGCAAGGGCAAAAGGACATTTCCAGGATGCTCCATTCAAAGGTTTCAGCTCAGATCAGGACATCCAGCAGGTAATTAGCAAGGCCTCTGGGGATGGGGCTTAGCTTCTGGGCTGGTGTTGGGGCTAATGAGGCTGTGGCCATGGGATTGATTTCTGCAGGGTAGCTGCCCTCCCCCAGACATGCCCTGCCACCCTGACCCTGAGCCTCCTACACACACAGTGCTGAAATCCCACCATCACAGACACATTAATTTAGCTCACCACTTCCTGTCCCCATTATTGAAGTGCACGTTCCCCTGGGGGAGGCAACAGGGCGAGCTTCATTCTCCTTGACGCTTTGTACCACAGTATGAGTGGCTTTGATTAGACTTGCCTAGCCTGCCGAATGCCGTGCAGCCGCTGTCCCACACGTGCACGCACGCTGGGCCCTCCACCTGGAGTGCCTCTCCACTGCCCAGATCCCTGCAAACCCCAAGGATGGAGTTCGTGTCTCCTCCCAGCATTTCCCGACCCTTTCCCTCATACTGCACATGCACACAGACACACACATGAACACACACACACTCACGCATACATGCACACGCACGCACATGCACACGCATGCACACGCATGCACACACGCACACATGCACATGCACGCCTGCACACACGCACACACACACACACACACACACACACACACCCCAGCACACTTGGCCTTCCAAAGGGCCAGGCACAGGATAGGTACTTGCTGATTCTCAAGGGAAAGAATGATGGTATGACTTCCCCAAAGGGCCAGTCTGCTGCTCCCCACTCCCCAGGCCTCCAAGCATCCGGAGGTTCCACCTACACACAGGACAAGACTCCTCGGTTCCGCTGAGGAAGTTCCTACGTTTAGAATCTGAGACTATGGCCAGGCTCCCAAGGGAGGTAGGGACCCACCTGGCACCAGCAGCTGGTGAGGGGGAGAGTGGAGGGCCCTGCCAGGC